CTACTGTTTAGAAAGCTTACAGAACATTCACCTGCAAAGAGCAGCATTGAGTCGGGACCCATGATGTTTCAGTAAGTTTCTTATCAATAGAAGAAGTTTAAAAATGCATAACTTGCCTTAAAGAATCTTTGAATGTAACCTGAATGCTTTTGCTATCAGTTCAAAAATTGTGCTTTGATTCCTGCCAATCAAAACTATGATTTTTGCTTGATTTAAGCAAAATTAAATGGAAACAATTTGTATTTTAATTAATATGAGTGAGTAGAAGGAAAATGTCTTATGTCAGCCTTACATTACAGYGATAATTGTTGCATTGTGACTTCTTCATTTCAAAGTTTGTTTTGATTTTGTTCTTTCCTTCGATCTAAGGGGTGGAGCTTTTTGTAAACTTGTTCAGTCATTGGCTGATTTGCAGCAAGCTCTGTCCCAAGTTGCAGAAAAAGCTACATCCTAACAATTTCCTTTGAACATTGAAGTCACAATGTAATGGTTTCTGCTCTAAGATTTAGAGTGAATTCATCACATTTTTGTTCTTTTATTTAGTTATCTTATTGAAAGAGGTGTTTGTTTTCTCACCTTGTCTGAGAAAGCATTTTCCAAGAGAGCTGCRTTCAGCTTTTTAGAAGACATAGCAAGTGAATTTCTTAGAGAATACGGAAATAGGATCGCCATGGCATCACGACCATATCCTTTCATTGAGTTTGGTGAGTACTGCGCATAATTAAAAAAAAAACATTGTCGGGTTGCAAAAAGGTGTTCGATCATAAAAGATGTATATGTCATGACATTGTCATTTTTTTGTGATTTTAGATACTTATATACAAAAGTCCAAGAAAAACTATCAAGATTCAAGAACAAGACGAACATTAAACAGAATTAATGACGAATTAGTTGATGTTCAGAGAGTAATGGTYCAAAATATTGATGATGTTTTACAAAGAGGAGAGCAACTGTCAGGTACAGTAGTACATCGATTAGCTTGTGTACATCCATTTCTCCCCAAATTCTCTGTTTTCTCCCCAAATTTCCCCGAAGGGGGGGGGGGGGGGGGGGGGGGGGGGGGGGGRGGGGGGAGGGGAGGGGTGAGAAATGGATTTACACAGTCTATGAAACACTTCATTTCATTCTCACTCCAATCATCCTTATTTACTTTTATGCAGTTTTGGACGACAAGGCTGGCAATCTCCGTTTCCAATCAGAAAAATACAAAAAGGATGCCACTTATTTAAACCTTCGATCAGCTTATGCCAAATATGCTGCTTTGGGMATCGTTTGTACCATTGTCATTATATATCTAAGATTTTGGTGGTTTTGAAAGCATTCCTACAATTAATAGTTATTATTATCTTATCAAATATTATAATTACAGAAAGATGCCATCATTAAATTATTACTATTAATAATAATAGTAGCGTCTGGTTTTGGGTAGACCTTCACCTCAATTGGAACAAGTTCTCCTATTGACTTAGTTGTTCTCAAAATAACAGTGAAAGTTTTTATCTTTTTTTTTTTTGAGAAAGCCAATTTGATTTTACTTTCCAAGAGGTGAAAGTCTACCCTGGTTTTAATGTGACCTGCAGGCCACAGAATCCTAAATGGAAATGAAAATACCTAAAAAAGACAAAAGAAAACACAAAATGTAAAGGAGTCATTTATTGGCTTACTGAGCTCAGTGGATCACCATATAGTAAAACCTGTCATCAAAATAGTAATTACAACTTATAAATGTAACAAAGTCCTCTTAAAGTTTATAGTAATATAAGCATACATAACAATAAACAGCCCATAATAATCTTCACAAGTTATAAGGTTTACAACTAAGGTGTATGCATTCATTAGAGTGCTTACAATGGAGGTTAGCATTGCTACACTCCAGGGCTTTGCCCCGTTTAATGCTTTTAGTGTCATGCTCTGATAATAAAATGAGATCATGGATAATAAAATTAGTGATTTTATTATCCATGATGAGATTAGATTGTTACTAAAATGCTAAATTTTCTCAGACAAATTTCATGTTTATAGTGAATGCAATGATGTAAAAAGGAACTCAAATAGCTCAAAATCTTTAGTYTATTAGTTTGTATTCTTAATCTAAAAATTGTAAAGATGTCTTGAAACTAATGCAACCAGTATCACAACACAGTATCACTGTCCGTGTATCAAAATAATATAATCATTATGTAGAAAAAAACAAAATTTTGAAGAAGTAACCATGTACATGTACCAATAGATTGTTTTTATTGATGAATAAAATAGAAATAGAAATAATTTTTTTGAAAACGTGTGAACTTTTCCTATGCATATTATAATAACATAAATAGAACTTAATATTAACCAGGAATATGGACTGAAGGAGTTTGAATCAATAACTTTTCTTCATCTGTTCGAACTGCTCATAAGTTTTTTTGAGGAAATTTCTGAAAAAGAAAAAGAATTATTTTAATTTTAATGGGGTTTTTGTTTTTTGTGTTATTTAAAATCCTAATGTGTACTCAACCTTGTCAATGGCCACTTAGGCTGAAAGCTCAGTAAATAAATATCAAGTAAACGCAGAGGATTCCTTGATCATGAAACTACTGATTCTGCTATTACATGTATGAAGATATTCTTACAAAGAGGCTTCTTGTGTATGTGGCTGAACTTTTAAATTTCCAGATATTTTTTACAGCAAGATCTTATAAGTGGTCATCRATTATCTTTTCATCATTTGGCCTATATTATTGCTTTCCAGTCTACTTGCTTCTCATTTAATGTGTTTATTAACTTACTTCAGAGAGGCAACTTCTCTCATCAATTCATTTATAAGCAAAGAGCCATCTTCAGTATCAAAGTCAGACATTGTAGTTGCTTTGTCTTGTTTGCCAGAGGTTAACTCTTTTGCTTGAGTTCTGATCAATTGAAAGATAAGAGAATTAATATAAAGCTAGAAAATGGGGAAATGAGGAAGATGGATGGGAAAAGAAGAGAGAATAGAATGGGATTATCACATGAAATTGAGTGGGAAAATAACAGGAAACTGAATTGGAAAACAGGGAATTTAAAGAGTGGAGAGAACAGGAATAACTATGTATAACTATGTATAATGTATAACTACACATATTGAGCCAAGTAAAAAGTGATCATTACTATGATCAAGGTTTCCTTTATGAATTTTAATACTGTATCTATATATAGATTGTAAATCACATACCTAGAATTTTTTACGTCATTGTCACAGGCAATAGACTGTTCCTCTATAACATCTTCACTAATAAGCTGCGAATCTGTGCACTCCATCAGAAATTCATAATCCATGTCTTCATCCACTCCAGCAATGACAGAAGCTTGCTTACTAGTTGTATCATYTTYRGAATTTTCACTTGTTTTGTCTTGAAGAACTGTATGTTTGTCACTTTCCAACTCTTTAACAYTGGTTTCTCCCTTTCTGCTGGTGGACTGGTCCATRTTTTGTTTTTCATCAATTTTGGCTTGCTCAATACTGGRTTCACACACCAGTTTAGTTGGCTGCGAATCTTGCAATTTAGTAACATCAGTTTTGGGAGAATGGGTTAGAGTYTCTTCATTATGAGMACTAGTGTTTTGGGATTTGGAGGTTTGYGGGCTTGTTGGCATAGCTGAGGTCTTGTCATTTTTCATTKGGTCAGTGTGGTCTTCCTTTGGYGATGCAACTGGATCCTAAAAAACAATGATGAAATAGTATTGAACATGGGAATGAAAGGAAATCTGGTAAGTTAAAAAAGGATAATTTTCATCTTTATTAATTTGTTCAAAGCACTTTACCTTTTCAGAAGTCATAGGTCTAGTCTGATCTGTTTGAACATCTGTTTCATTGTAAAAAAGATCTTGCATCAGTGGTGTTGCTCTCATATTGCCCTGTTGGCTGGGGAATTTCAAACCTTCTTGACAATAGATTGACTGTTGGGGGGATGGGAGGGGGGAGTGCTGTATGGTGTATCTGAGCATGTGCCATGAAGTTTTGAATTTTTATTTATTCATCAATATCATTGCAAATCAATTTTAAAACTTTTTTTGCAAGTATCAGTTGGAAGAAGGTTACTCAATATTCTAAGGGATTCTTTTTGTAAAGGTAATTTAAGCCCTGCATTAAATCCAGACAAACTCGGTTAAGTCCGACGATAGGATGTGATTTGGTTAAGTCCGACAAATGGATGTGATGCAGGCTATTGAGTTGTAATAAGGTCTGCAAATCCAAAATGTTTTGGGAAAACAGGGCAGCCACACCCAACCACTGAGTTAGATAGAAAAGTAATAAGGGTCACAAGGGCATATTCTTCACCTGTTTTGGTGACCTTTTCTGCTTTCTTGACTAAAAAATTCACACAWGCCTCAACTAGCTCATCTATTGGCGAAAGGTTGTCAGGTTGACTGTCTCCATAGCCGGAACAAAACTTTTCTTGGGGTGGTGGACTGGTGAGTGGGTCGTTGCTAACTTCACCGACTTCATTGTCATCACAGGTGTGCTTGCTATGGTTGTTTTCAAGCTTTACCTTTTTAATAAATCCCTCTACAATCGCCATTTCCTTAATACCTTCTCCGGCATCTTGAGTTTGAATAACTTCTGATCTACTGCGGTTTTCGTTTTCACAGGCTGTTGTCGATTCTTCTGCGACTGAAATGATGTTTTCTCCTTCATCGTCCATTKCTGACATCTTTGGCTGTTTGTCGAGGTGGATAAACTCATCATTATTATCCTTTTTCGAGAGAAAGAAGGTAAGAACAAAGCAGTTAAAACTGTATGAATTCRCAGATCACTCACCTCATTTGCACTGTTTGAGGAAGCTGCAAAGTTTTCTTGGGATTTCATCAACAAACATGACCCGGAGTTTTCTGAAGTAGCTTCCTCTGTGTTTTCATCCAGTCGCCTTTTTAACGTCTGCGAAGCTTTAATTTGGGATTTTCCAAGGCTCTTTTCGTCATTTTTACTCGAAATTTTGCTTGATCTTGAAAAAGGCGGGACATATTTGGACTCGAGTGGTGAGGAAGTTGACTTGGCAACCTGCTGATTCTGATCTTCCCCGCGGCCATTTTCGATGGGTTTTTCCTTTTCACTCTCGACTTTTGCTGCTGAAGAAGCCATGCCTTGYCCTTYTTCATCTTTGGATACTTTACTTCGAGCTAATTTGCTTTTTGTTTTGTTTGTCTTTGGCGCCTTCTTCCTTCGACCGCCCGCCATGTTTTCGATGTTGATTTCAAGTAGTGAATATTTTGGCGGGAAAATTCATGTCAAATTGCRGAACGCGAGCGCGCGCGMGGTGCGCCACGCGCGCCAAGAAAAATTTATTAGAGTGATAAAAATAGTATTTTGAATGCTGAAAAATTTCTTTTTAGTATCATAAATAACAATTACAATTATTCCTTCCTGCTCGGTTCAATACTCGAAGATGAAATGCGTATCCCCGCGAGCATATGTGTAAATATCAGTTTTTGTCAATACTCTTTATCATAGGGTACAAACATTAAATGTGTGCAATTAACACTTTCCACTATTTACTACAAAATAGTGTTAATCAAACAATAGAATTAGCATAATTTAACAGTATTTAGTGGTATTTATGTTGCATAGTTTTAGTGTTTGTACTTTATGATTATCCATGAACGCAAACTGTATAATTGGCGAGCTTTATAGGTTTGGGCTTCCTGTTTTACGACTATGACCGAAGGTTGCACCAAGGAGCTGAGAGAACTGAAAAAATGGAGAGAAAAGAATTTAAGACGATTTTTTCGTTTTTTTTGCGGTTTTTTTTAATGTGTTTTTTACATTTTGATAATTGAATCCATCTTACCGCCTTCAGTGATTAAAGCGAGAATGCGGGAATAACTTCTTGACAATTTTCAACCTTCAAACAGTTTGACCTTTTYGGATATCTCCAATTACATTCACTACAAACCAGTCCTCCCATCACGGACACGTCACAGCTCCCAATAAACGAACATTGATACATTGAGAGCCTGTGTGCTAAGGCGGCTCGCGCAGGGATATTATTGCAGCACTTGCGAATTGCGGTCCGTAGCTGGGCCGAAATAGAAGCCAACGATGGCTGCTTGGTAAGTGTATCTTGGCTCTAAATGCGCTGTGTTGGGTGTAAAAGAAATTAACCTGACAAAGATGGATTTTTATGCGTTGTTTAGGACATTAGGTATCATCGTTGGGTCTTTAATACTGGCCCTGCTTTCTTCTGTCCATGGTATTTCGTCCCAGGACGTACTCGCGGCAACCAGACGTAGAGGTATGTTCAAAACATGTCTTTCTTGATAAATGACACTCATTTTAGACAGTTAGCGCGYTTTAGAAGCATAGAGTTTACTGCGGTTCAAATTCTTACCATTGAAACACTCCTTTGAGCTTCCTCGGATAGTGTCTGTATATGAGTAACTCTCAATAAACATCCTCCAACGCGGTAATTATACGCTCCCTGGAGATTTTATACAATTTAGAAATCTAAGCTTTTGATATTGWTATATGTCAGCGTTTGGGATATTTATGGATAATATTTACTTATTTTCTTTATTGTATTTACACGTGACGTTATAAGCCGTCAGGAATCACGCTTCTCCTTGCTAAATATACACCAACTATTAGTATTATATCTGTRGACTAGCGCACTTTGCTGAAGCAAAGTATAGAGTCTCGACAGGTCGCAATTAGACTCGTACTGCAAACCTTTGAAATTTCATGCACATATTGCTTCTTCTTATTTCTTACAACACGGCAATTGCTTCTTGTTTCTGCTAAGACTCTTACAGTTGTTGTAAAGACGGACTAGTAAATGAATTATAAGAGAAAACTTGATTTAAAAACATGAGAGTCGCAATGAATACTGTTTTGTATAGGTCTCTTTCACGGTCATTTGATATTACTAGCTCAATACTGTAGGTTGGAACACGCGACCCTAACTAATATGTCTGACCTTCAGATTTCAACCAATAATTAACCAGATAACTTATAACCCTTATTTTTCAATAAAACTTTGCCATATTGTATTAGCACTTTAATAGAACGATGCTTTACTTTTTTGCCATGAAAATTCATAATTTTTTGGTAATTTTGATGGCCAATGACAATGATATTAAGAAATCTAATGCTCCTTGCGTTACGATTTCAAGTACTTAACCCCAGTGACTGGGTAACAAACATGTGCTTTGTCCGTGAAATACTAAACCTGGTGCACACAGTCAATCATTGTTACTGGCCCTGCCGCCAGCGCCACAGACTGTATTGTTTCGCGCTGGACATTCCGCAAATATCCCGAAGCCGGGCACTAAAGACTTTCTCATACTGAGGCTTCAGTGTTGTAGAATAGCAAATTGAGAAGTCTACGGCTTTAGGATTTTAAAAGTTGCTTTAGTTTGTAAGCCCAATTATAGTAAATTTCTTCTTCCGAAGATGTTTAGCTCTTTAAGGGCTTCGGTACAAAGCCGAAACGTTACACCTCGKAAAGCGTGACATCTAAGTAACTCTTGTTTTCTCATTATGAATAATCCCTTTTGATTAAAATAAATCTCATATAAATWATAAGTGACAATTTTTGTTTATATTACTGAAAAAGTTTATGGACTATTGGTATCCCGCGGTTGTACWGGCYAGACAAAATCAGCCTRWTTTGACTGGCTAGACTGCGTGAAAATTGTCGAAATTAGTGSAAAATCCTTTCTTTTCCTTTGTTTAATCTGTTTAATTAGTGTAATTTCTGATAAGTTGTTTCATAGTGATGATGAATGCTGTCTAAATTGTGAATACACATTATTTTGCTTAACGTTTTCTTGCCATAGACCCCATTTTCCAGCATATTTTTCTTTCYAATATCATTAACTAATGCAATGTTAATATTTCCACGATATTAGATAATTACAAATGCATTCTATATTACTAGTATTGAGCAACGCTTGAAACGTGCTTGAAACGACTCTATGTGTAGCGACGCCATTTTTGTACAAGCATGATTGCCAAGTCCTCGCACCTTCGATGTTCGCCAAGATTATCGTCTCCAATCCGTATTTTCGGATTTCTTTATAGAATCTTCACAAACGCTTGCACTTTAGCAAATACAACTCAAAAACAAAAATTAACGGGAAAGATTTTTATAGCGGACAATAAAATTCGATGACTACATGTCCCATCATGCTCTATTTCAAAATGGCGTCCCTGCACATTTTCAATTTTCCTATTTTCACTGATTTAAATCTTATATTTAAAGAACCTGGTTTTTATATACTACAGTGGGATTTCTCATGGAGGTATAATTAAAACAAAAYGTTTTTGGAGGCATGTGATCGTTAGTACAGGATATAATATTGCTGCGTGCCTAGTTTTTGCATGGACTTGTTCTAGTTTGTCTCTGCAGGAATTGTGATTAAGATAAACTTATGGTACTAAGGGTTAGAATTAGCATTATAGAGATATTAAAATATTGTATGTTATGTAATACTAGCGGTTTTCATTGAGAAGTTAAGTACTGTGAGTTGATATGTCTATAATATATCGTATGGTATAGTAGTGTTACAATCAGAAGCTATCATCATAAGCACAAACATGAATCTAGCTTCGATTTAAGTGCCAATACAATATGGCAAAGTTTTATTGCTCTTATAGGTATTATCATGGCCTTAGGCCCTTTCCCTTGATGTACTAAACGTCTAGCTTTTCTTTCTTGAAGAAGTCGTATAAAAATGACTACATTTTGCAAGCAATTTTTAAACTAATTTGTTTCCGRTGTAGCTTTTTAGCCTCGATGAAGAACGCCATTATATTTCTATCTTTCTGCGATGTAAAATTTATCATTTTATTGCAACTGTTTCCTTAGAAACAACAACAACACAGATGAAACTAGTTTAAAGCAAGCCTTCTCTCTCCGAAAAAAATGTTGTCACAGCTCGTCATTTGTTTTCAAAAGTCAGCTCCAGCTCTCATACATCAAGCTCAAAAACGTTTTACTTAACTACTTAAAGACGCTCTTGAATATTTGCACATGAAAAAATTCACCACATGTAATACCTCGTAAATCTTCTTGTGCATATCATATCATTGACGTCTGATCATGCTAAAAAGCTAACTGACAGCGCCAAGTTAAGCTTCTTATAAATATGTCATTGCAAGATAACTACTTTTGTGAACATTAGCAAGCGTTATTGACAGAGGAGTAAGTACATGATCAATGTGTTTTATATAATTAATGGATATGCATTGTAAGCTTTTTGTAACCTTCTGATAACATTCGGGTGAAAGGCGATGGGATAGCACTAGAAAAATTTAAGAAAGGGAATATTTATTACACGCAACTAAAGGCTCGATTTCCGGACCTTTCAGCGCGTTGAGTTTGATAATTGTACATGTACGTCGTTTAGTTGTTAGTTTAGCTGTTKGCAGGACATACAATCATGGACAATACAAATTTGAACACGGTAAACTGTTACTCTACTTAACACATCTTCTTAGTTTTCTACTGACAACACGACCTTACAGTCCCCCCCCCCTCCTCTACGGTCAATGTTGTCCTTGTAGACTGTGTCATGGTACTGAAGCATGAAAAATAAAATGAAAATAGCAACGCAACATTGTACAGGGGGTCTGGCCGGGGGGGGGCAGGTTATTGTAACGAGTGGTTGGTGGTTGTCGTGTTGTCAAATTGTAACGGTAACATATTGCAGTGTCCCACGTAAAATGTCTAGGGATGTAGATGCAATCGTTAAGGAGCTGCATTAGCTGATGTAGTTTCAGTTAGYAATGTAGTTGTAGTTGTAGCATTAGTTGTTCTTTTTATTGCTGTTGTTCGTTCTGCATTGTAGTAATTTGTTGCTCTAGCTGCAGTTGTTGTTGGCCATGATCTGATAGCTGGAAGTGTAGTTGAAGCTAGACGGATGTAGCGGTAGGGTTTCATCTGCTGTTGACATTTTTGCAATTGTCGTCTTTGTTGATGCTCTTGCCATTGCTGCTGCTGCTGCTTCTGCTATTGTTGCTGTTGTTGTTTCTGCTACTGTTGCTGTCGTTGTTGGTGCTCTGTTGAAGTTGGCGCTGTTGGTATTGTTGCAGCTGTTCTTGCTGTGTTTTAGTTGTCATCATCTGTTGCCTTCCGGTCTTTGTTGATGTTGATGTTGTTGTTGTTGTAGTTGCCGCTGCTGCTATTGATGCAGATGTTCTTGCTGCTCCTGTTGGCGTTAGAGTTGTCGTCTCCGTTTTTCTGCTTCTTTTGAAGTTGATGTTGCTGTTGTTGTTGTTGCTGCTGTTGTTGTTGTTGCTATTGCTTGTGATTCTATGAGTCCTGGCGTTATCTCTACTTTCTTTGAAATACATACCAGCTGTCTATACTGATTGCATACATTCTGTTTATTTCTTCAGGTAGTGACTTTGTGTGGACCTTCGGTCTAAGAGATCTACCAAATAACACAACCAAAACCTCTGGCCTGTGCACAAAAAGGCCCCGTAGTAGTGGCCATGGATTTGAAGAAGATATCGCCTACAGATTCGACAGCAAATATATTGCCATTTCGACTCAAGAACTCTTTCCAAGGAAGTTTCCCACGGAATATGTGATAATGGCGACGTTCAGAGCGGAACGTGACAACGCTGGCAGTCTTTTTTCTATCTTAACCTCTGATAGACAACTGTCGCTGGCGTTTACACTGAATCCTGTTGGCTTGAAATACCTGAAGCCCGACGGCAACATAGGTACGAATTTCAACTCTCGCCCCGCAGACACCTCGATATTACGGGCACCCCCGCTATTACGGGCATTTGAATGATCCCCGCTCCAAAGAAATGACGGAAAATATCTCCCTTTACAGCGGAAACTCGCTTTATCAACGCCCACCATGCTTGAACCCCGATATTACGGACTGGAAGAGTCACCCTGAGCTACCTTAAGGTGTCTTAATCTGCGATGGGGAGGATGCATTTGTCCGTTCGCGATTCTTAAGATAAGACGCCAACACCTTTAGTTGATAAAGTTCCCCACCCAGTTTTCACTAAATTTCCCTTTTAAGGAAAAAGTCGCTTAACG